CATTAAATTCCAGTGAAATATATTTATGTTTGTGGTTGTAATGTGACAAAATATGGAAAAGTTCAAGGGGTATGAATACTTTTGCAAACCACTGTATGTGTAAATACTTATACAGTATGTATTCTTTTTTTGTTTGTTTTATGTCTGTTTTGAAATAAAGACTTGATCTATTCTATTATATCCCATCTCTTTTACTGACCTGTTGTCAGTTAAACTAATTCATTACAAAATGCTTTTCTAGCTGTTTTTTATGGCATTACACATTGTGCAACATCTTTGTTTAAATATGTGGCGATAACTCATGTTGTCCACCTAGTTTGTCTGTTAGCAAAATATTTCTGAGAGATCGTATGAGTCAGTATTTCAAATGTTAACACATCCTGTGTGATAGATCCAATTGATCAAAAATAGATTTAAATCAAAAGGGGAGGGCCTACACATAGTTTTTGACATTGTGGTATTTAAATTTAAAACAATATAGAAGGCTCCAGGGACCTCAGCAGTGGGGGGGCTACCACCAGTTAAGGTGTTGAATGTAATTTTTTTCTGCATTTATGTGTTCACATGTAGGACTTTGGTCTTCAGCAGCTTCAGGAAGGCTCTGCAGAAAGCACCTTCAGGTCGTTCCTGTGTAACATGCTGCTGCTCTGCTACCACACGTTCATGAGTTTCATATTAGGTGAGTTGTGATATGAAATGACAGATATACACACATCTGTGAGGAAACATAAAAAACGTCAAAAGCCTTTTATTTTACTTCGCAGGAACTGGAGAAGGAGACGTTGAGGATGCAGAAAAACTTCTGCAGCCTTATCTTAAAAAATACCCTAAGGTTTGTTTTATTTTTACTCAGATGGATTAAAGATCGTAAGTATCGTGTTCCCAACGATAATCTGTTTCGCTTTTCTACAGGGATCTATATTTTTGTTCTTTGCTGGACGAATCGAGGAAATCAAAGGCAACCTGGATGCTGTGAGTTTTTTTACACCTAAAAAATTACTGCTGGTACTTTTTTCTTTTCTTTTTCTTTTTTTTTTTTTTACAGAAAAGGCATGTTTATTGTCATAACTACATGTAAAAATGTGTTAGGACACCTTTCAGGTTTTTGTTGTCCCCGAATGATTTACAAGATTATTTTAGCATAACGTCAACATTAAAACGTGACTTTCGTTGTAGGCTATCAAACTTTTTGAGGAGTGCTGTGAGGCCCAGCAGCAGTGGAGCCAGTTCCATCACATGTGCTACTGGGAGCTGATGTGGTGCTTCACGTACCAGAGGCGCTGGAAGATGGCCTATTTCTATGCAGATCTGCTAAGCAAGGAGAACTCGTGGTCTAAGGTGGGGACACCAAACTGGTCATGGATAGCTTCTGGGAAAAAAAACTAATCTGAATGTATTTGGAATTAGTCAGCTCCATCTTTAAGGGGACATAAACAAAATCTACTTTTTTTAGCTGTGTGTGCAGCACCTCGTTTGGATTTAAAGAGACAGCCTCAAAATGAGTTGATCTGAGCCACACATCAGAAAAGGGGTGAAAGAGGGGCTTGTGGAGTTACAATAAGGAGGAATTCAGACCAAAGCATTGCAGTTTCAGTTTTTACAGACACCAACTGAATGATTTAAATGTGAAAAAGAAGGATTTAAAAACATATATCCCCTTTAAAGGAGTTTAAGATGAGCATTACTAACTAAGCCTCTGACTTCAGACAGATGTTAAGATAAAAAAAGTTCAGAAAATCACTTTTTTATGAAATCCAAGGCAGCCCTTTTTATATGTAAAGGTAGGACGAGTTTGTAAGCAACTTTTTCTCCCCTCAGGCTACTTACGCATACATGAAAGCAGCCTATCTCAGCATGCTGACTGAGGATGATTGTCTAACGTTTGGGGAGACGGCGCAGACTCTGTTCAGGTACGAACTCAGATCTTTAAATTACTCACAACAAAGTGAAAATAAGATAACTCTTGAAATCGACGTGTAAATGTGGCTGAAACCATTTTTGTTATTGTGAATAGCTGAGAAAGTAGAACATGAACGGATTGCCAGAAAGGTAAAAATAAAACTTGTGGTCTCAGATTTAATTAGCTTGTCAGATCTATAGTTTGTTCTCTGCCTTTGTCAGCAACCTCGTATCTGCTAGAGATTCTGAAATGATGTGCAGAAAGCAGGAAATATTCAGGGAGGGAAATTGTCCTACATCATTGCTGCAAAATCCAGCATCTGGAAAGAACCAAAAATAATCTTACTTAGGGGTTAGGATTTAGAAAACAAGTGATTTTGACACATTTAAAAAAACAAATCCACCAACTGAAATGAACAAGTGTATTCTTTAATTATAAAGCGTGCTGGCTTTTACAAAAACAAAACTCATTCATATTGTTAAAGATGGGGATAGGCCAGATTGTGTTGCAAACATTTATAAAATAAAATAAAATATTGAGGATATACTATACAAAAAGGGATGAAACAAAACAAAAATGGTTCTTTTTATGGGGTTGGGTGGGGGAAGGGGTCTGAAAATAGAAAGGGAAAAAATGTATCAAGCTCACTTTACATGCTTTTTATAAAATGGAACGATTTATGCATCTATTTTAATCCACAAAACAGAATTTTTGAGTACTTCTACTGTATTTATAATCATGTTCCTGCAAAAAAACATATTCAGCAAGGTTTTTTTTTACCATGATGCTGCTATTTATATTTATGCTGTGTCATGTTTCAGGCAGGTCCCTGGGCTGAAGCAGAAAATAGCGGGGAAATCTTTACCAACTGAGAAGTTTGCAATTAGAAAAGCACGCCGCTACTTTGCAGAGAAACCAGTTCCTCTTTCTGCTCCTCCACTGGTCAGTACCGGACAGTTCACAGTACTGTACTACAATGTGTCTTATTGTTTATTATAACTAATATGATTCAAATAACAAATATCCATCTTATTCCTATCCTCCGTGATGTCTTGCTTGAATTATGAGCCCAATTTCCAGCACAAACCGGAACATTTGTTTATGTGAGAACGGTACGAGCATACACAGTTTTTCTGAGTGTTGTGGATTTAAAAATGTGGGAACGCCTCCTGACGGAGCTCAAACAGGACAAATAACTACTGCTTCCTGGGAAGGTGGGCGACTTGAAGTGGCCGCGGGTTACATATAGTGGCATTTTTATTTTCAAACTTTATTCATTCCATAAAAACAAGATTAATTCTATGTACACTAAAAAAAAAGAAAATACAAATAAAATTAAATGAAAGGCAGCAGAGAGAAGAAAAATAATCTTATAATATCTGCCCCTTTTTTATCCAGTATAAATTCAAACAATAATATTCAGTTAACTAAACAAAACAAAAATATCTAATCTTTCTAGAACAACAAATTGAATGGCTACATATTAAACTGTTTAATTTTTTTAACAATCTAGCCTTTGTCATTCTCCTAAACATGTACCGGTACATTCTCTTAGCTACTTCACTGACTCTGTTGCTTCTGGTGGTGAAGCGATGAACCACCTGAAAAGCTCTGAGGCACATCAGTACCTGCACAGTAATACAATGATGATGATAATGATAATAAGGCCGGTTGTGTTTTGTTAAAAGAAGTGTGACACAATCTTATTTACCTAAAGCAGACATATTTGAAATATGTGTAAGCCCTGACCTAAGCCCTCTACACAAATAAGGAAAACCTGGTACACTATCACAGCTACAATTTTTAAATTTAAAGTAAGAAAAAAAAAACTACCTCAAGGGTTATTCTTTAACACGTCTGTCATGAAACTACAATATTTTTAGTTTTATGCTGGCATAAACACAGGTTAGGGAAGACGAGTCTGTGATCGGTTCAAGTCCCCGAACCAACCAGCCCCACTTTGGGCCCCTGAGCAAGGCCCTTAACCCCTCAGCTGCTGCCCAGGCGCTGTCGTTGGCAGCCCACTGCTCCACATGTGTTCTCATGTACGATTGGGTAAAATGCAGAGAACTAATTTCCCCTCTGCGGGGACAATAAAGGCTAACAAAACAAATAAACACTTGTTTCATTTTTCTAGCAGAACAAATAATGCTGTTCTCTTCATACACTTCAAACCGTCTGATATTTTCATCACAACTTTTTTCAATTCCTCTGAGGATCCGGCGACTCTGGTGTTTTGTTGTTTCCGAGCCACAAATCTGGATGTGGGTTTTCCTCCATCGGCCGTCTGTAAACGAAGTGAAATGAGCAAACATGCAGCGTTTTGGTGGTCGCTTCAGTTTCTGATGTTTCACGTTCTTCTTGTTTTCTTGTCTGTAAGTAGGTGATGGAAGCTGCTGCATTTCACAGGTCCGTGTTCAAAACACTGTTGTTGTTGCCACTGACTGATTTAGTTTGGTGTGGTCGTTCGTGCAGCAGCAATCAGCACAACAGATTCCTGAACTTCACAGGGCCGTTTATAAACCCTGCTACTGTTGTTAAATGTAAACAAAAACAGTTTATGCTGGTTATTCGAGCACAAAATACTTTCAAATAAGCTGTGGTCTGTGATCCACTACCTTGGTTAGCCAAAGCTTACTGCTACTTCTGGTGTTTCTGACAGGAAGTTATACCCATAATGGTTTCTACAGTAGCTCCTCCAGGAATAAGGTGGATAATAAAAAGCTCTGATGTTCTGGGTAATTTGAGCTTAGTTTCACAGCAGATTACAGAAAATGTGAAATATTTCTTGTTTGAGTTATCTAGAGACAAGTGTTAGCCTACTGCAGCAGGAAATGACTCCTCGCTCACTGTGCCTCATTTGTGTGTGTTTGTTGGGTGTGTAGGAGATGATGTACATCTGGAACGGTTACACGGTAATCGGCAAACACAAAGATCTAACCGAGAGCATGCTGAAAACCCTAGATGAAGCCCAGGCCACACTTGAAAGCAACCCAAGTATGAAAAAGAAATAAAAGCCTATTTACAAAAACAAGTCTCTTTTAAAAACGAGAGAAAGTTGGTTTAATGGTTTATAGATTTTTTTTAAATAACCCATCAAATGCTTTGTTTGGTCTGTAGGGACGGAGTACACCGTCGATGATCAGTGTCTGTTGAGCCTTTTGAAGGGGCTCTGTCTGAAACACCTGGGACACAAAGAAGAAGCTGAACACTACTTTACCCTCATCCTCTGCAAGTAAGCCTCTCTCTGAAACACAGACACACACGGTACTGTAAGCAAAAATAAACCTTTCACATCACCAACCAGAATGTCATTTTCAGTGAAGATATTTAGAGCTAAAACTTGAAGAAATACAGATGTGACATCCTCCTGTTTTGTTCTGTTTTGTTTGTGTGCAGTGAGACTCAGATCAAATATGACCACTATCTGGTTCCTAATGCCCTGCTTGAACACGGTCTGCTGTGTCTGGAACAAGGCAGAAAAAATGATGCTATTAAACTACTAGAAACAGCAAAGTAAGCGTCCAACCAAAAATTGTAATAAAGTTTTTGGAAGTTGTAATTTATCTCTTATTATTACAAAGATTTGTGTTTTAGTAAAAAAATATTATAAAAGTTTTATCTTAAAATCTAAATATGTCTCTTTTTTTCAGGCAAAATTATAAAAACTACTCCATGGAGTCGCGGACACACTTCCGTATACAAGCTGCTTTGCACAAGGCCAAGGGAAGCGAAGAGAACGGCATCAACGTGCCTTCTAGCCCATAATGGGCCAGTAACAGCTTCCTGGTCCTGCAGTCCCACAACACAACACTCAGCCAGGCCAGCTCCACCTGTTGGGGCTGAAGATTTTTTTTTTCCTTTTATCAAGACTTTAAATGAAAATGGAGGCATGTTTTCCCATCATGTGTGCCATTGTTATGGACAGCTGCAGCTCTGTGTGGTCAAATTGCTAAGCTTTCTGGTGGAAAAATATTGCATTTAACTTCACTTCTCCACATGATTTAAAAGAAGAAATGAGTTGATGAATGTCTCGTGTTTATGAGGCAAATGCTTCCAGCAGACTTTGTGTCTTTCAGTGTGGTTATTCACAATGAGGGCATTAGAATAGAGAACCAGGTTCAATTTACTAAATTTAGTATATACTAAATACTAAATCATCAAAGAGCTGAAAAAAATAAAAAATAAAAAAAGACAGAGGCTAACCCCACTAGGCCAACAGCACTGCGTAAACTACTGTCAACAAGGCTCCGCCCCGTTTTGTTTGATGTAAACTAGAGGGTTTAAATAAGGTGACATGCAGTTTTCTGTTGTCACGGGTATATCTCAGATCATGCAGCTCACAGCTGAGTCCAGGACTGAGATCATTGTTTTGTCATGTCACCCACCATAACCAACTTAATGGATCTTAAATCTGAATGTGGAATCTGTTTACGCTACATGATAGGTGTCCATCTGAATCAGTGAGCGTTTCATTGCGTGTGCCATTTCATTTTTCATTTGAGACATACTAAGACAGTGAAAGCTTCAAATTTAACGACGCTGGCAACTCAGACCAACCCGTTTTTAAAGCACCCTGCATTGCTCTTGACGTTTATATACTGTAAACGACCCCTTTTACATGAATTGTCCTGTTTTAAGAGGACAGATGAATGTGTCTTTTAGAAAGGCAGACTCCCTTCTTTTCTCCTCCTGGCCTGTGTGGGACGGGCTCCAGCAGTACTTGAGCTTGGAAAAAAAACAGGCCATTCACAGCGAGCGGCAAAGGAACTGTGTGCTTGTCCTCCTGCTGCATCTTTATTAGGTAAAGAAACTGTCAACCACAGCAACTACTGAGGCTACATCGTTTTTTCAAAATTAACCAACCGTAAACATCCTCTGCTGCTTCGTAATTAGCCACCTATTCCTCGAACTACCAACAGAAGAACTTGAAAACTATAACCACATCCTGTGTTCAATATTTATCTGTGTATGAACAAATATGGCTTCTTATATGACTGGTGAGTGGGTTATAGAAAAAGCTAAGCACCTGATTTTTCCAACGTGAACTCATTTGATGTCTGAAGAATGTTGAAGTAGGAGTCCTGTTGATTTATTTATATCTGATAAACATTTGGGATATAATTTGATTACTTGGAGTCAGTTTCTAAAATTTCTTGGTGAAGGAAGTGTATTAGAATTGTTCTAACTGCAGTCACTCTGGAGTATTTTAATATAATTTCACTTTTTATGTTCTAATAATTGACTAAACGTGTTTCTTTTTTGCCCTCTGGTTTCACACATGCTGTCTACCTGGAAGAAAGTCAAACCAAACATGTTTTGTGTTTACACAATGTATTTTACATTGAGCATGGTTACCTACTAAGCAAAAAAAAAGTTTCCTTTACATGTTTTTTGTTGTAATTTATGATGAAATTATGATGGGCACACAAAAAATGCTATTTTGTGATGTCTTTTTTTTTCTATTTTAAGTGGTGCACCAGTTTTCTCATGTAAAATGTATATGCCCACTGAAGGGGTTTTATTAGTAGAACAAATTTTTTCTTTTAACACTAATTTTCATTGACAAAGTAGGTATTTTTGTTTTGTTAGATGCAGGGCAGTAGATGCCTGAGTAACATACTAAAATTAGCATTGTTTACTCAATAAAAATGCAAATATAGAGCTTAGAATAGAATAGTCTTTGTCATTACACAAGCCTGTACAACGAAATTGAACATAGAAAGACATATAGGACAACAGCATTAAATACAGTACAAATATATACTGAAAATTAACAAATTCTGTTGCCTTGTAATACTTAGAGGAAAAGTCTGTACAGCGAAGAAAACATAATTTAAACAAAACAGCCCATTTAGAGATTAAAGCTCTATGTTTATGTTTTCAATGCTGGATATTATGACCACAAGTCTGATTGGCTGTTAACAACCGTCATCAATGTAAGTGAAAGCCCATTGGTTCGTCGTCTAAGTAGGCGGTGCTTTTCCGGGCTACGTCACCACCTTTTGTCGTTGTTCAGCAGCTGCTTTGAAATTGGAAAGTCCCTGACTTCTAGACGGGCTTCAGACCGGAGAACAGTGAATGGTCTTTTTTTCCCCCTCATTGTAAGCGATATTCTTTGGCTTTGCTGCGTTTGCAGACATATCATTCTACCAAAGCCGTAGTTTAGGAGTTTAAATGAGATGTTCCCTTCCTTCCGAGTGCTAGCTGGCGTTAGTTAGCAAGGCTAGCTTTTTGTGTGGCTAGCTGCTGCTAGCTGAGGGGATGTTTTGTTGTTGTTGAAGTAGGCAGCCCTCCCGTCGTCTGGGAGAGGAGATTCATCAGCTGTGAATGGGATATCTTCCTCTCGACGCTATCCTATCTACGGACATTTTCTGTGACTGAGCTGCTGTGAGTTCCCTCGTTGATCAGGGCGACAGAAGCAGGGGAGCGGAGTTTTGATAAAAAGAGGACGGAGATGGGAAACTGTCTGAAATCTCCGACCTCGGATGATATTTCTTTGCTACACGAATCGCAGTCGGACCGGGCCAGCTATGCAGACGGTGCCGACCCGGATCAGGAGCCACCGCCCCCCTATCAGGTAACTAGTTCAACCAGCTGTTTTAGGAGCAGCTGTCGCGTTTTATTTGTTTTATTTTTACTAAGCTTCATTAAAGTGTATTAGAATTGAACTCTACATGTCTAACTTTTGAAGGTCTAGCCTTGTATTACGACAACATTTTAGGCAACGAAAGAAAACAGGTCAAGAAAATGTTAGACGAAAATATGTGAACTTGGATCAGCTGTTTTTAGATTTAAAGTCGTCTTCCGACAGAAACCCAGCCCAATGATGTCATCCCTTCATGGATTGAATCTAATCCTCTTTCTTATATCCCAAGGTCCTGATGATTGAATTGTTTTAGCACTGATCAGCATGGCGGCAATAGAGTTCATTAAAACACAACTAATCTTGTAGTTATAAGCTGATGAACTAAAGAAGAATATGGGAATTAAACAAAAACAATTATTTTGTAATTATGCGTTTTCTAAAGCTGACTTACCCCAAAATACATAAACAGCCCCTGCTCCTTTGACTTCTCCATGCATCAGCTTTGTCTGGTGTCTTCTTTGTTTCTTGTTATGAGATCATCAATATACACAACAAACCATGTTATGACTAAATATGATGCTTGACCATATTCTGTGTTTTTCTGGGACAAGATGTGGCCTGTAAGTGTTATTTACAGCACTGGGTGAGTGTTTGCTCATTCCTTGGTCAAACCAGGTCTTATCTGTAGGTTTAAGATAAGTCTTTTAAAAACATGGTTGACTGATCTCAGGCAGTGTCAGTACAGGGGGAGCTCTCATGGTAGAAAGATGCATAAGTCTTTAATTTTATGTTCAAAACAGTGTGACAGTCCCTTCCTTTCTGTTTGCAACAGTAATGAAAGCTTACATTTGTCTGTTTTTTTTTTTTTACATTATTAAAGGTTTTAAATGAAATGTATTATTTAACATCTAAATTTAATCAAATAGACTAGATAAGATTTTTAAAGTGAGAGATTATTTCATTAAAATAACTAACTTGAATCACAAAGTTTTGGTTAATAAGTCTTTGACTCTCATTTCTAATGTGAAATATAACTTGTAGGGGTGTAAGAAAATATCGATACACTGAAATATCGCGATATTTCATTTCCCGATACTGTATCGATATTCTAAAGTCCTGTATCGATTTTTTTATTAAGGTTTAAAATGTCAACTTTCCTGCCAGCCGTTCATTTTTATATTGTAGTTCAGCCTCTGACCGCTAGTTGGCAGCAGTGAGCCAGACATTTGGCTCCTCTACCTCTTGAGGTAGAGGCTATTGTTTAGTGTTGGGTGACCATATTGTAAATTAATATTAAAAACTTGCAAAAAAATATGTTTTCAAACTATTTATTGTCAAATTTAGTCTAATAATTGAAAACATGGATGAAATAAGAAATATTAAACAAATAAAATAAAATACATACAAAGCAGAACACAGCTAAATGTATCAAAAGTATGTCTATGTAATATTAGAATTTTCTGAGACAATGAATTTTGGTTTTTCAGTTTTTTTCCCCGTAAGAGGTTTTTATTTAATAGAATTTTTGGACAAAAAAATCGCAATAAATCGCGATATATCGCCTGGCTTATAGTATCGCAATATATCGGGATATATCGTATCGTGACCCCTCTGTCTTGAAATGTATCGTATCGCCAAATTCTTGCCAATACACAGCCCTAATAACTTGTCATAAATTAAAAAATATGTAATAGGTTTATTATAGCTGTTGCTATTTCACCACTGTGGTGGCACTCCTATTTTTTGCTATATTTATAGGTGATATAAATATTATGGTTTATAGATGTTTATTTTTTGAAGAAAATCTTCTAAAATTCTAATCATGAGAAACTCGAGCTCATTTTCACTGAGCATCATGTTTTCCCTCAAAGGGTCAGTTATAATAAACTTGTTTTGTGATTAACTTCAACTTAAAACATGAAACATCACGTTCCTTGTCTAATTGCTACTACTGAGCACTGCTAACAAACTGAGCTCTACGTGGTGTTTCCTGCATAGAAACAGCATTTTAACACATCCTCTTATAAAACTGCAAAATACTACGTGTACGACTGATTAAATGTGAAAAAAACAATTAGTGCTGGGTGTTATACCGTTTTGTACCGAAAACCGTTTTTTATTTTTGTTATGATATGACTTTTCTGAATACCGGTGTAAACAGCCTGAACACGTTCGGAACGTTTCATCGCGGCCGCCAGTGAACTGTTTGCCTGGGGACATGTTTCCTCGCAGCACCGCTAAGCGCATTAGCATGCTAACGTTATTGTTGGAACAACTGGCTGCGGGTGGTGTGTTTCAGCCGCTTATATGGTCTGACGTAAAAAATACCATCCGGTTTTCACCATCGCTGAATAGTAAACAACTCTTCAGTGTCGTGCACGGTTAGATTTAACGTGCTACATTATAATGGAGACGTTATTGGATGGAGACTCTAATGTGCTTCTATTGTGAAAAGGGAAGTAGTTTTGTAATGTAGCGAAGTTAACTGGTGTGCAAAGTGAGTCGTCCTTTTAAGTTTTATTAACACGTAATGATAGACCAGATAATGCTTTTTTTTTCTCAACCCTTCACTATCGGACCTAAATGCGTGATTACTGTCTACAACCAGGCAAAGAAGAAAAGACGTACAAGAGGAGGGAAATAGTGATACAGAGGTACAGTAAAAGAAAAAAGTCAATAAGCAAAGTTTGTACATTTTATTATCAGCTAAGCTGTGAGGAAAAAAATACTGTCAAATACCGTGAAACTGGTGTAATTGTTGAAAATACCGTGATATAAAATTTGGGTCATATCGCCTAGCTCTCTAAACAGTACAAAAATACTATTAAAAGTAAAAGTTTTAATCATTGAGTTGTGGTGAGTAGCTTACCTTCTTGAATTCTGAACCCTTCCACTTTCTGACAGGGAATCCTCACTGGAGGGGAGTTCCAGTTTAAAGTAGTGGGACCCTGTCATTTTGCAGATAAAATAATCCACACGCTTTGTGGAAGCTGTTCTTCAAATAAGGGACATGTAGTTTATGATGAGTGCTGGCTTTAAAGCAGCATATCCTTATTTTAAGATAACAGTACATCTGTGAAGGCTACATAAAATGTATTGGAGGGCCATATTTGCCCCACAGACCTTTAGATTGTCAGATGTGCTCTCTCTGCACATATCTGGTGATATATACAAAATTCAGCAGTAGAGCAGGTAAATGATGCTCATAAGCAACATAAAAAGTTAAACTTTCTTTTCTATATGAACACAAAATAACTTCTCTAAGGTTTTTTTTCTCAGACTGCTTTTGGGGAATTTTTGTAACCAATTGGCTGTGTTGGCAGTGGTTCGTAAGAGAGATGGATGCTTTATCCAATCACCTGCCAAGTATTGATAAAAGTATCTCCCCTTTGCCAGATATTCCCTCTGGGTCCACACATTGGCGTGTATATCATTATCGGCTCAAGTGTCCCTGCCTTCACTTAAGAATAGAAACCAGCAGGACCTGGTGTATTTTTGGGACCAGAGTCTGTGCACCAGGGATGTGGGGCTAAACATCTCAACTTCTCCTGCATACAATCATGGTGTGACACGAATCATAAAATAACAGCTGTTGTTGACCCTGAGCATAACAATCATCCTCCTTAGGTCGTTGTAAAGAACATCAATGATGCAAACATGCTAACTTCCATGATAAACGTTTGGTGTTAATCCGCTCAACTTCTGTCTAATTCAAATGTTTCTTTCATTTGGAGTTGTTCCAAATGCTCAAATAGTCTATTCAATTTGTTACAATCTATTTTCAGACTTTTTTTACTATTTAAATCAAGGTGGGAAGTAGAATAAAAGTAAATCTGTTTTAAAATGATCATAAACTTGTATATTAAATCACAAGTGAAAATTATCAGACCATCAGGCTGGGCCAGTTTATGGAAACTTCAACCCTTTCAGCAAAAGGGCACATAAAGTTTAAATTTAGATTTTTTTGTCTTTTTTTTTACTTGAGGCAATGTGTCAGAGTTTCTCAGTAACACTTTTTTCATCAGTGTCTGTATTTATTATCCAGATTACCACCAGGATGCCGTGTCTGGTGTGTAATTAGGTCAGTTAGCTGTGGTGAGGAGGGATGATGGTGCATTAAGGAACACAGGAGTTGTGCAGTTTTTGAAACCGCTCTGAATCAAGCTCTCTGTTGGGTTGATAAACTTTGCATGTGTTATTCTGGGTATACTGGCAACGTATAAGAGGGTTAACCAACTAGTTAAAATCTACATATAAAAGACTCTTTTAAACCTGCCAGCATTTTTTTTTCTTGGGACCACAGTGATATGAACCAGGAACTCAACACAACTTAGAGTTTGGGTTTGTCCTAACCTAAATGTAGATATCCCTACCATGAAATTTAAAGTAAAGCTAACGTGAGCTTTTCCTGCCCAGACATTTTTTATAGCCCACCATATTTTTTAGTTATTTACAATAGTCTGATGGGGGTCACACTGTGGCTCAGTTGGTAGAGCTGCTGTCTCTCACCAAGAAGGTTGCCTGCTCAAATCCTAGGGACCTTTCTGCTTTGCATGTTCTCTCCATGCATGCGTGGATTTCCTCCAGGCTCTCCGATTTCCTGATGACTTTGTTTAGAAGTTCCACAGCAAATACTGTCACATTATTGTTAAAAAAAGCATAATAGGTTATAAAGAAAACTAAACATGTCAAAAAAAATTTGACCCAAACAGAATATAAACAGGGGTAGACATAACCATTGTTTAGGTTGTCCGAGACAACCTATTTTCATTTTGGACAACCAGATCCTGTCTCCTGGTTGTCTGGTGGACAACCAAGAAAAAAAAGACCTTGATTAAAGTTCTCTGCCATGGGTGTCCATCATTTGTAAACGTGAAAGGGAGAAAAAACTTGGTAAAACCAAACAGAACACTAAACTGTAACTTTTAACAAGGTTGTATGCACAGTAAACTCCTATTTAAGTGAAAATGTTTGACCTGTTTGCAGAAAGA